GTGTGTGTGGGCGTGTGTGTGTTTGTTTGGGCGGGGGTATTAATCGTGCATCGGATGATAAGATCATATAATTGTATCATCATTGACAATGACTTCCCTCTCTTTCTCTTTTTTCATATTGCTCTTGTACAACTATTTGCTTCATTGTAAAATAATGCTAATGCCATATTGTGTATTGTAACATAATTGTTGCACTATAATTGTTTTCAGGCTAGTTAAATCCTGACTGCAATGTTTAATATAATATTCAGCAATAAAGCTTTGATTCCATCTGTTGGTGACTTTTTTCTGAGTCATTGAACAACATGGCTTTGCTCCAGTGACATAAAAAAAAAAGTATGGAGAGCTTAAAAGAGATTTATTCAACAAATCTGATAACAAATAACAGATGGCAGTATGAATTTCAAAGTTTTTAAACTCTTGCACTGTGAATGTAAATCAAAATGATTTTGTGTTATGAATAATGACGATAATCTGAGAAAATAGACTTGCACCCCTTTGAATTATATGACAATACTGTGATGAAACGCGTCAATGTTATTAGCAAATTGATGAAAATCTGCATATTGTGGGTTGTCTCAACACGCTGTTTTTAATCACCCTTTAAGTTTTAAGGCAAATGCTGACATAGAGTTGACTGTTTGTGGCGACTCCACGTCTCAACATTTTTAAATAAAAACAGTGCTAATGCCATCTAATAAGAGGAGGGCAGCCCGCCTCCCCCAGCCTCAACTTTGACTGGGAGTCATTCATATAATTTATTTTTTGCCTCACCCTCCTGTTCCAAGTGTGCAAGAAAACCGACGGTGACCAAGTGACAAAAAAACAAATAAAAACAAAAAACACAAAAGACACTTTCTAGAGTCAGCATTTGGTTTGTCTGTTCTCTAGAAACATTGTGGTTCAACAAGGCGGCATCTGAAGGACTGTAGATAAAAACAGCTCATCCTAAGTTAATGAAAACAATTCTTATTTTATAAGTTATTATGTACTAATGAAAACATACCTTTGAATATTATATTCCACTTCTGCTACAAAAAATATTCTTAATGTCACACATTTTTCTTTAAAATAAAGATAATAAACCTATAATAATTAATTTAGTTATGTCACTTTATATATGAAGCCTGTGTGTTATCAGGTCAGTAAAATTCTGTCTAAAATATATTTTAAATTTTACTTTTTTCCTATTATTCTACCTTCCGTGCTGTTGTGTAGGTTGGACTAAATTTAAGTGATCACAAACAGTAAATTTAGGAAATACAAAACCGAATTGTGAGATAAAATATGACAGACACATAGATAAATAAATAGATTTACAAAAAGTAAAACATTAAAATAAAAAATATTTTAGTAGAATTATTAATTATTAAGATTTTGATTACTTTTTACTTCTACTTTATGAATGCATACATTTTAGGCTAATGTAATTAATCAATTTATATTAGCTTTTGAACGTATATCGTGATTATAACTGAACAGTGCAGAAGGGGTGGGACACTCCAGCCTCCATACATCTGTTAAAAAGTAAAAATTGCATTAATATTAAAAAATGAAGTAGAAATTCATGATGTTTTTTTGTGTTTTGTTCATAAAAACTGTCCCTTTATTAAATCTGACATTGTCTTCAGGCAGTTTGATCGAGGAGGGCCATATTTCGGCATTGCCTCAAACGTTAACATTTCATTTTTCTCCACAGTCACGATAAACAAAGCTCGCGTTTATTTCAACTTTCAAATGTGTTATCAGCAGCGACGCCACGCCCTGTTCTAGAACGCCGCGGGCTCACAGCCAATCAGCGCCGAGTAAATGCAGAGGACTCGGACGCTGATTGGTTCATTCAAAAATAACATACGCGCAGCCCCGCCATTTAAATCATTTAAAAGTCGTGTGCTTCCCCTTGTTTATTGTGGAGTGAGTGAAAAGAGTGAGCTGCACGCCTTAGCGACTGTCTTCGTCTTGTTTGAGGTAAGAGAGAGCATATATTTAAAACTACACCCCTCAGTTTGGTGCTGAAATAGTCTGAACTCAAGATCAAACTCACTACGATCTATGGTTACTATCGCAACGTTACATCACATGATTTTTATGAATGAAATGGGGGAACTTCAAGCTAACTGACCTTAGCTAAGCTAGCTTACTGTATTTGTGAACCAGTTTTAATTTCAAAGCTCAACTGTTAATGTTTTTAATCGTTACATAGACTGATGCAAGTATGTAAACACTTCAAATCAAGGTACGTTACTTAAAGTTAAAAGGTTCAATTAATTTTAGTGCTACTTTTTGTATCATAATATACAGATTTTAAAAAAAGCCACAAATGTGTCTCCAGTGTTTTGTTTTAACTTCTATTTGCTTTACTGTTTAGCACTGAGTCATAGTAACTCAACATCTATAGTATTTTTATCTGTATTCCTTACTAATAATGTATTATAAATGTTTTTTTTGGTTACTATATGTTCTGTATGTTTTGTGTTGCTTTTTTATTATGTTGCTCTGGTAGAAAACTGTATTCTGTTTTTATTCCCCTGTGAGCCAGTTCACATTAAACAAGCGTCATGGGATCCAGTGAGAGCAAGATGGTTGTGTCTGCACCAGTAAAACCAGAACCGGCCATTAAAAACAGCCGAGTCGGTCACCTGATAGATCCACGCTCTCCTTCAGCAGAAATTGACCGTACACCCATTCAGGTAGGTTTCCTGGTTACTTATTACCAGACATACAGTGTGTGGCAGGAGGATGTTTAAACCATGCCATATATTAATTTTCTAGGTTGGTGGGCTTGTGCCTAAATCTGTAGCTGAGGTGAAAAGTGAGTGTCCACTGGCATTCACTGATCCCCGCTCACCCAGTGTCGGTGTTTCCCGTACCCCTGTCAGAGAAGTCATGAGAGGTAATAATTTGATAAAGAATAACTTTCAGCTTTGCCTTTTCTCAACTGCAAAATACCCTGTGACATGATCTTCCATTTTATCCTACAGCGACAGTTGGGGTCTTTGCTCGCCGCCTGGGCATGATTTTTCACAATGAGACTGAAGGCAAAGCCCCTGAAGTCCCTCAGAAACGCTTCAGTGATGCCCTAGAGGAGGAGGAGGTCTTTCAGAGAGAAGAGCTGGCTTCCACTGAGCCCCTCCTGACTCCTCAGCCCTCGCGCAACTTTGGCTCCCTGGCTGAGCATGCTAACCTTCTGGCCACCCCTGTGCTGCCCCCTCTCCGAAACGCGGGAAACTCGAGCCCCTTTGTGCTTCTCGAGGAGCCCCAAGTAGAGGTGGAGATAGAAACTGAGGCTGACATTAGCCTGGAGGAGGCTGAGGAGGCGAAAGAGTCTCCTCTTCACAAGAGGCTGAGCATGAGCCTGATAACTTGCCATGAGGGAGCAACCTCAGCCCAGATATTTGCTGAGGTGCACCGTGACAGTACTTCATCCCCAGTGCCTAGTGTGGAAGTGGAGCCAATCAGGGATGGTGTGGATCATTCTTATGCTGTTCCTTCTATCACAGTTGAACCTGAGACCCCTACTGAGCTTTCCCTACCTACTGATACAGATGCTTCCCTAACTCAGGTGTCTCCTGCACAGTCAGAGAAAGCGGAGCAAATGCCATCTTCTGAGGAAACAAAAGAGCTCGTTAAAGACTCTTCTGCTCTTGCTCCATCAAAGCCACCGACTGTACCAAGCCCGGCTCAGCCACAGCTCTCCACCGGCATCCGTTGCCCCACCTTTGACCCAAAGAGCCCCAGTCAGGTGGTGTTTAAGCCGCAGTGGTTGGGAAAAGGTTTTGGCGCCACTGGGCCACGAGCTAGAGGAGTCCAGGTGCGCGGTGGAAAAGGAGGCTCCTCTCCTCTTGCTGTCCGCGTGGCTGTGAAGAACGTGACCAAGGAAAACAAAGGACAGTCTGGAAAACGGAAGCAGAAAGGTGTGTAGAAAGCTTGTGGTTCTCGTTGTCTATGGTAACGAGATGTTGTTGCTTGACGTTTCCTTTCTCTTCAAGGTACCGAAGGCCGCTCCCCGCTGCAGATCCTTAAGGAGACCAACTCGCCCAGGGACCAACGTCCTCAGGTACCGTATACAAGCACTTGGTGCTAGTGATGCCTGTTCTTCTTATTCACTGAATCTTGATGAGTAATTCTGTTGTCCACAATCAACGGCTGAAGTGACGTGTCCTCCCCACTTTCCAGATGAAGCCGAAGGTGTCCACCCCAGACAAGCAGAGGCTTGTTGGACAGATGGACCGCAGAGTGCTGGCAGTGTCTTTGGATAAGGAGAATAGATGATTCACTGCAGCGACGTGTACAGGATCCTGCCACTTTTTAAATCTACCCCCAAAAAATCTTTTATGTGTATGTCTTTCTTAAAATGATTTTTGTCCTGTGAATATTGCTTAACTCCCACTTTGTGCATTTTTCTATCTGTTTTGTCCTTGTAAATATAAATAAAAATTATTTGCACACGTACTTCAGCTTTAAACCATTGTTTTGATTTATACTGGTTTTGCTATAGTTTATGTTGTGCTTTTTCTTTCTTTTTTTTTTTTTTTTTTTTACGAAACCCTTTTTTATAACTTAATTTTCTCCAACACCTAAATTGTAAAATGTCTAGTGTTTATTTCTGTACAAACAGAATAAAAGCTTCAACACTAACTATTTGTTAATGTCATGCAACTGCCATTTCAATTGCACCATTCCTGGTTTTGGCAATCTTGTTTATACATCTTCCCCATTTTAAATTAACTGTGTAGTGAAGTTTATGTAATGAACACTAGAGGGAGCCTAAAAAAACCAAAAACCCCATTTACATTTAAAGTTTATCCATAGACACCGCATGGGTATGCTTTTATCCAAACATTTAAATAAATTTAACTTGTAAACCCTCACACTTAAAAATAGTGCTTCAACAGCGCCATAATTTATGCCTCACTCTGTATCCTGTGGGATTTATTTATGGACATGTAAACAAAATTATAACATAAGTCAGCATGTCAGAAATTAACACTAAAGACCTGTTTAATGCAGAATCCCATGTTTATTAGACAGTCTTTAAGAAAGGTAGTATTGCTTTATTTTGCACATTGTGTGTATCCAGTGTTGGAAAAGAGGCAGTCCAAATTCTACTCAGAACTTAGAGAATTTTTTTTTTCTGTATGTACACAAACTGTCCTTCAAGTTTATCTTGTACAACGCAGAGGAAAAGGTAAGCAGTCATATACAGATTCAGATGTATTGCTCATATGCACACAATAGACGTTATCATCCATATAACACTCATACAAAAGTCCTCCTGTCCTGAGACAAATGGGTCATTTTTTTTTTTTTTTGTAAGTGCTTAGTGAACCATTTTATTATCCCATCTGTCAGTTCAACAGTTTACCCAAAGCACTTTTCAGGTCTAGCTACCGGCAGGGGGGTTAGGCCAAATGATGAGACCCCAAATCCTGGTAAATATTGTCCATCAATCACATACAAAACAACTCAAACACTAATGTAGACATCTGCAAACTATAACTCAATTTTAAATAAAGTTAGAAAATGAAAAGAAAGTAAATGTAAGCATCTAGGGAATCTACCAAAAACTAAAAACAAACAACAGTCTGAAACAAAAAACGCAAATGCTCAGATTATTCATATAAGATAACTTATGCTTTGATATAAAACACAGCATATTAGTATAGCTAGTGTGAACCTACACAGGCTGTAACTTGACACATATTCAATTCTATCTCATCCAGTGTGCTACCATTTCCATTTTGGCAACTGTTCTCGTTGGGTGATCTCTGAATTGCTGCAATAAATGTGCATATGTTATCGATTTGAACCGCAATATAACAAACTATTATGAGGAATGATCTTTTCTGAGACCCCCCAACCCCTTGTCCCACCCCAAATTCCCCCATAACGTGAGAAGAAAGGTGAGAGCGCGATGTGACAGAGAGAGGACAAAATCTTCACATTACAACCCCTCTCCAACATTAGATAGGACTTGGCACAATTAAAATACCCTCTTCTCACCCTATGCGGCTGCTCGTCCCTCATCCCTCCCTGAAACTCCAATTTGTTTGTTTTATCTTCTTCACTTTCTCCCAGGCAGGTGTTAACTGCTCTCTTTCTGCTTGCTGGTGAGGAACAGCCTCAGTTCCATATCTTGAGGAAGCTGTCCCAGGATCCTGTGCAACATGCCATGCCGTCTGAGGACACCCCGATACAGCTCACTCTGTTGTCGTGACCAGCCAGCACTCCTGGACCACATCACAGAAGAAATACATGATGTGAGCTGAGCAAAGTACCACTAAAAAAAAATGCCATTGATATTACTCAGATGCAGAACACTCCATCCCATAACGGGTGTTAAATGCTGGAGGTTTTATGTTTTAAAATCAATTGCTAAATTCACTTTGTCGTCTCTATTTTCCACCTGTACTCACCCACTCTCTCAGATTTAAGTGCGTCCCAGATGTTGACGTTGAAGTCATCATATCCAGCCAGTAACAGGCGTCCAGACAGGGAGGGGGCCAAGGAGGTCACCCCGCACATGATGCCAGAGTCCTGGTAGGTGATGAGCTCCTGGTCGGCTCGCAGGTCGTACAGCTTGCAGGTGGCATCGTCCGACCCTGTTATCACTGCGTTACCATTGGGAAAGAACTGTAGAAGAAGAAGTGTTTAGAAACTCATTTGAGCACTATAAGTCAGACCTCTGATACCGAAGTGATCCTCACCCCAATTGCATTGATATCACTCTCATGGCCTCCAAAGGTCTGTCTGCATTCGGCCTCCCTGATGTCCCAAAGCTTGGCTGTGAAGTCACACGCCCCTGAGATGAAAAACTTGAAGTCTGGGGACACGGCCAGGGACATGCAGTCTCCCTGGTGTCCGGCAAAGACGGTCTTTTGGGTCCCTGTCTCAATGTCCCATAGTACGCTGCAAGGACAAGGACCAAAGACAAGTTTTAACTACAGAGAGGTAAATTGCAACATAGTTTTTAATTCAGTTAATCATACTATATTCTCACCAAGTGCAGTCTCCAGAGCTGGTGATGATCTCAGTGTCACTGAGGAAACGACAGCAGGACAGGTAACCTGGGCAACCAAAGAAATACCATATGAGGAACCTCAAGACACAGTGTAAGTGTAATAAAGGAAATCCAACTCAATCAAGTACAACTTAAGAACCCCGGTGGCTGCAAGAGATTTAATTTCCAAGCTGTGTTGTCCTACCTGTGTGTGCCGCCAGCTCACGCATGACCTTGACATTCCCGTCCTTGCCCTTGAGGTTGTAGATGGAGCACATGTTGTCCAGACCACCACAAGCCACTAGGTTCCCCGAAGGTGCATAGGCACAAGTCATCACCCACGATGACTTGAGAGGGATGGCATTCACCTGTAGACACAGAGAAGATGAGGTGAGTTTCTTGTCTTTCACCACTAAAATCAAATGGACTTAAAGGAATTTCTGAACCAGCTTCTTAGTTTAAGAGATGGGGTCCAACATGAACACACTATTTTCTGCCAGAAACAGTTTGGTTATATAACACTGGAGATTTTTGTTTTTCCTTTTTTTCACTGTCTGGGCGGGACTCAGTCAGAAAAAGGTAGCCTAATGTCACGTACTTCCGTGCAGAAACCAGGATTTAGAAACATTTGAATCTGAAGACAGTTGATGGGTCATTTGGTCACATTTTGTCAATCAAAAAACCACACGGTCCTCAAGAAGCAGATTACTATTAATAACTATTAATAATACTTAATAACATTTTGGTTGTTGCTTACTTGGTCATTAGTATTTAATATTTTAGAGAAATTCTTAAGATTAAACCAAGTTTTCAGGGCCTTTAAGAAGTGAGGTTGCATGTGTAGTTTGTGTGTTTGAGGATGGATGTACACTGCAAAGGTTTGGCCTCCTTTAGTGCTCAATTTCATCTGGAAAAGCTTATTTATGGCTTCGTATGGTGTACATTTGCCCTCAGCTACCATTACTGTAATTATGATGAATCTCTCCTTTGCTCTTTCCTACCTTGTTGGTGGTAATGCTGTCCCACACTATGAGTTTTCCATCTTGTGAGGCACTGACACACAGCCTGGTGGTGTAAAAATTATAGTGATTAAAAATATGAGACAGAGAAAGGATTGCTGCTGCTGTGTTAGCTGCAAAATGAACATCAGGTACAAGCCATGTTTCTATTAATTCATCCAGTTAAAAGTAAACTGTACTTTCCAAATCTAATTTACCAGTCAGAATTCCCACTTGCCGTTATTGGCTCTCCTCGCTCCAATTTTGAGCTAAATTTAATAGAAACCTATCACATCTTGGCTCTAAAATAAAACAGCAGGTGCTCTTTCAATTTGTGTAAAATAAGCTGTGTATTTACTTCGTATCAGTGCCCCAGTGCATAGCGTAGATCTTGGCAAGGTGACCCCTTAGTGTTTTCCTGGTCTTCAACTGGACACGACCCACCACGGTGATCCCGGCTACTGCCTCTTGCAGTGTGGTGTCCTGCACCGCCTTACGAGCTGCCTGGGGAGCAAACACAAACACAAGTAGTTATGTTACCGCCAGTATTGATCCAGGTTGTGGTTATGAATAATATACAGATATTTCTTGGGGAAGAAGATGTAAGGTATGTCTTTAGGTCATAGTAAAAGGCAAGCTCATAATGTCAATGATAACTACTGCAGACAGCCACACTGAGTTAATTAAAGATGGTAGAGATGGGCCTACTGACAGTGATCTGGTCTTTGAGACTGTCTGCCTCCTTTCGCATTTGCTCCATTTCACCCATGGCGATGGTTGTTAGGCACTGTCACCAATGGAGACGAGAAGAGGTGGCAGGAAAGCTGATAATCCTGAAATGAAGAAGAATAAGGCAACAAAAACAGAATTTAGTTATCAAGACACAATTGAGTCATAATTCCTGTACAAGTTCCCTGTACAGATACTTCCTCCTGGAATTTTACCTGCACTTACCTGAAGATTTTTTTTAAATCCACCCTAGCTCCAAGTAAGTGCTATTTTGCAAGTCAAACTGGCCCTCGTCTACTTTGCAAAGTTTCATAAACACGCAGGAGCTCACACAAAAAACCCACAGAACACACCTATGCAGGCATTCACGTACATGTGTGCGCGCGCACACAAAAACACACACACACACACACACACACACACACACACACACAGACACACACATAAACACACATTGACTGTATGAATATTCAAGCATGACATTAACATTATTTGTTAAGACGTGACACTTCTTGAGAGCACACATCCTCACCCTAAATGTACACACAAACCAGTATGTCCTGTAATAATGTCATCAGTGTATCAGCTCTCAGCCAGTCACCTCTCACTTCCCAACAAATTCACAACAATGACAGGTGGTTTGTGCCATTTAACACTCCAGTAAGCTCTCACCTAATGTTGATGGCTATTGAATTTGGTAATGTTGTGATTAAATGAGCAATGTTTAGCAGTAACCCAATCACCTAATGGACAAACTCACACAGTGTGACAAATGTAATCAAGGCACAAGTGAAAAGGCAGAGTCACGATCTCGAACTGATGTTACAGAGTAGTTCAAAGACACACGACACATGACACTAACTTCATAGTACAGCAGCACAATGTAACCAACCTCAACAACAACACCCTCCTCCGTCTACTGTACGCGTGCAGATATTACGACTTTTCTTCCTTGTGAAGAACCAATTGTCATGTGGCTATTTCCTTTATCTTACCTTGAGAACTGATAGGAAGGAATTCTTGCGTTGATCTTATTGTATGTGTGCCTGCAGCAATCTCTCTCTCTCTCTCTCTTTTTGTATTTGAATGAGTGTGTCCCTGTCAAAACACATGACCAAGTGGATTTGCCTCTAATTTGTTTGAAGTGAAAAGGAGAGGAAGGGAGTGAAGGAGGGAGTGACTCTGTAAAAGAAAGAGATTTGCTTTAATTGTTTATCACTGGGCTCTCTCCTTTATCTATAATGCTTAGAGTGAATGGAAGATGCTCTGAAATGTGTTAAAATGAAGTTAGAGTGCTGATTTATGGCCTTTATAGTAATGCGGTGCTTCAAACACCTCAGTGGCAACAGTATGGGTGTCCTGCATTAAACTGCTGATGACTACATTGCTCCTGAAGTTGGTAACAGGGGATTTTAGGCCTTTGTTCCAGATGGGAAATTGCTTTGATAATCAGTGTTGTAATGAATGCTTGAGTGTTTTAGTCACGCTATTACCCTTTTGCCATTCTGTTCCTGGGACCCTGCCATTGTTCCATGTGATTAAATGACTGCTAGGGGTTGCTGGATGGTGAAGTGCATTAACACAGCCAGAGAGAAGAGGGGGCAGAGGGAGGGAGGGAGGGGAGGAAGGGAGGGGTTGGAGGGGGGAGGGTAAGAGGCGAGGCAGGAGAGTGAGTTTTAAATCCTACTGGCTGAGATTTTAAGGGAAGCCTTTTGAATCAAATCTGCTCTCATCCGATTACTGACTGCTCTTTGCATCTGGATAAGAGATGGAGAGAGGGATCGGAGGGGAGGGTGGAGGGGGGATAGTGGGATGAGAATGAGGGAGGGGGCAGATGGAAGAGGTGGAACAGGATAGATATAGTTGTGAGAATGGTAGCCTGTGAAAAGTGTTTTCAGTGGGACTGGGCCTGTGAACTTGAGTCTGACCGGTGACTGTCTACAGTTTGGATCTGTATCTCAGCTCAGAGCTCCTGACCAGATACAACAAGTCTTACATTCGTGGTCCAACTTGCAAAAATGTGACCTTATAATATGGCTCTTGTTTATTTGTTTACAATGACTATATACCTATTGTGTTGTAGCTCCTTATAAACACTAAACTAACATACTGCGTCTGTGCTAGAGTTGACGATATATAACGTGAAATGAAATACATTAGTGTAACCGTTTAGTATCTCTGAATATATTAGGCTGTTGTGGGCAATGTTGTAAATAAGTAACCAGGACTGATTAATGGTGATATTGGATTTTTATGTGATTCCTGCAATCAGTGTGATCATGTACCTTTTTTTGGTCAGGTATTAAGCCACAGGATTAGCCAAAAGCAGACATACCTATCTTGTTATTTTCCCTCATCATCACTTCCTCAATGGAGATTCCTCTAGTATCACATATATCAATATAAAATTACATATACTCTAATGGAGGACTCTGTCCATATGGCACGAACCTAGTCTAAAGTAGCATGCCCTTTTTTCTCTTCTTAGATGTGTGTTCAAACTAAAATATGACCACTTTGAATCTAAATTTGACACCATACATGATACATCCCCATAAACAATTAAACATATTCTTATTGTGCAGATTATGTCTGGCAGTATTATAAATCTGACAACAAAAGGAATTTTTTTTGTCAGATTACCAATCCACATGATAAAACCAGCTTTGTATCCATTGTAAATCCCTCTGTTGTGTGTGTGCTATAAACACAAGATAAAAGACAAGCTGCATACGTGTGTCAATATAATTTTCAATGGCATCTCCATATTTGATATCAAATTGGATTCGTTTTACATACGTCTTACATACCGTAAGATCATAAGTACACGATATCGTAAGTGTGCTGCATTTAAAAAATCAGCAACTTTTTAATTTGGAAATAAATAAATAATTCCTTCAAACTTCAGGATTTTGCCAAATAATTAAAGGTGCTAAATATCTTTTCAGCTCTGAACCCAATTTTTATCTGACCCTTTGAATCTGATCCATCATCTGAGCAGCATGGCGCAACTTCACAACTACCAAGAACAAAATATGTAAGCAGCAACATATGACCATCCACTCACCAATTAGGAGACTCCTCTCAAGGTGTTTGGGCAGATCTTTAATCAGTCTTCCTCCAGCGGTCTCCCTCTGGTCGTTGTCATAAGTTCAGCCCGCCTGTTGCCACACTTTCTCCCGCTCATTCACTTTTGGTATCACACACAGTGGGATATTCCTCCGTCACTCACTCTCTCCACTGCTCCTATGAGGAACAGATGAGGATTGGAGGGATGAAGGGAGATCAGTGATGAGGGGATAAACCCTGGGATGGACAGAAAGAGGGGTGGAGGTGGGGGTGGGAGTGGTGTGCGGTGGGGGTAAACGAGACAGAAAGGGCGAGGAGACAGAGGGGGAGACCAAACAAGGTGCAGAGCTTGGTTATGGGGTCACAAGACATGAGCTGGGGTGAATCCGAATCAAAAACTAAGAGATGGAAACCATGGAGGGGAGGGGAAAGAAGATAAATAGAGGACTTGGGAACATGGCTTTTTATGGTGCTGAGATAGTCTTTAGAAGATCTATGACTGGCAGGAGGGTTTGTGTTTTGTAAACCCGAGGTGAAGCTAATATTAGAAAGTTTATGGGCAGAATGGCAGAGCAGAGATCAGACAGGGTACAGTGGTGATGTAGAGAGCAACTTCAGGATCCAGGAGAGGTTTTTCTGGGTCATTCTTATATGCAAACAGTCCCACCAGGCGTGAACATGTACTTACAGTATACAGGACACGTATACTATTACTGTCTATTGCTCTCCAGTCTCTGTCCTCTTGTGTAAAAAAAAAAACAAACTCCCATTTCATCTCTTTTTTTTCTTTCCTCATTGTTGACCTAATGTCACACCAAAGGGTCTCTGTGTTTGGCCTAAATACTCCTTTGGAACGAAGTTAGTTTGTCTTTTAATTTCCGCTGTTATCTGTTAGAGAGCGTGCCCCTTACTGCTGCTGCATATTACCTAACAAAGTAAATCACCTGTATTGGTTATGAAACAGCACAGCTTGCACTGAACTATCATGAGATAGCACTTTCAGGCCAAAGAGTCTGGTGACCACATTTCAACCCAAAAGGCCTGGGATAAAGCCCTTTGAATCGGCTGCAGGTGGCTATGAGTATGATACTGAAAAAGTTGCTTTGCCTTTCATGGAATCCCAGCTGCTTTATCAAAGGCGGTGTCCGTCTGTTTCTCCTTAAAGTTTTCATGTTGATCCTTTGACAGTCAGGAGTTGGCACCTATGTTTGCTGATCGTGTAATCTGCATCGTGTTAAGAATATATACTGTAGTTTGCTGTGAATGAAGCTGTGGGTGCGGCCTATATAAGTGGATCCTTTCTCCGCCCTCACTCTCTCAACTCCCTTGCACAAGATCCCAGTCTTTGTTTGTGTTGCCCTTCTTTTTTCTTGTTGTAAATAACTGTTATTCCTTTGCATCGTACCTAGTATGGTGTCCTTTAATGTGTGACTTTGAGCCGGTCGTAACAACAAACATGGTGAAACAAGCTATGAATATATCTGTAGTGTTAATAAACGTGCCCATCCAGTGGTACTAAAAAGTACTGTAACACATGTATTATTTAGCATTTTGCTGATATGTGCTGTTCTTAGGTATGCTCAAGCTAATTGTGCCTCTACTTTTCAAGTGACAGTAGACAGATGATGTAGAAAACACATTTAAATGAGATGAAATACGGTCTGAATTCTCACTAGTGCCGGGGATGCTGCTGTGGCTGATTGTGAACTTTGACCTCCCTGTAGAAGGGGCAAAAGTAAAGTTCCCTAAAAGGATCAAGTATCACATTATTACTTTTTATGCAAACCCTTAGGGCAAAAGATTCGGATGATGAAACAGCATCATTGTGACTCTTGTCAGCGTGGACTCACACACGCACAGTACAAAAGGCTTGAGCTGTGTGTGTGTGTGTGTGTGTGTGTGTGTGTGTGTGTGTGTGTGTGTGTGTGTGTGTGTGTGTGTGTGTGTTGCCTACTTCCTGTTTTTTTTCTGTGATTCAGTGTGGATAAACTCAGTTCTGTAGTTTAAAAGTGTTGACCTTTGCTCACTCAAGCACGGTGACGACAGAAGCCGGCTGACTGAGCTGGCTGAGCTGACCCTGGATTTGGAGAAATGGAGTTGGTGCACTGTGGGCTGTGAGATGGAGCGTAAAACTGAGAGAAAACCAAAAACAAGAAAAAGAGGATTTGCTAGCAGGCACTGGCCAGGATAGAGACAGAGACAGAGTGAGAGAGAGAGAGAGAGAGAGAGAGAGAGAGAGAGAGAGAGAGAGAGAGTTATTTTGGGCTAGACCAATGATGTTTTGATCTTGCATTATCCAAAATCTTTTATTTTACTATTTGTAGCTTGGATTATGACTAGCATTGCTTTTGTTTTTCTGCCATTTTTAAACTTCTAAATATGAAGTTTGTACCAGTTCTATTGTTTGGAGAGTAGATTTATTTAAGTCTATAAAACCCAACAAGGGTCACTGAACCTTTAACCTTGTTTTGAATAAATGGGGTAAGTAGGTGGAGTGGGGTGGGGTGATCGGATTAAATGACATATCAGTCAGTCACAAACAACTATTGTGACATGAATGTAGGATGAATTCATGAGTTTTGATCCTCCTATTGAATCTCATGTTACGATTACACCTAAAAGTGATGTAAAGCCTCACACAGAAAGGTCAGCTACCATCAGCAGACACCCGATAAGTTGTTTGGGCCGCAAATAGGATAAATAATGCGTGGAAGTGCAACATAAGGGGTGAGTGATCAAGTCAACTACTCACTGCACACAGCACTCAGTTGTAATGATGACAGGAAGCTGTGATTTCAGTTTTATAAATACGCTGTTAGGCCTTACATAATTTCTGCTAATCATATAAAATATGGAAAGATGACATCATACAGCCAAAAGTGTCATGCCTTTTCTGCCAAGTGTGTAACTGGAGCAGTAGACGCCCAGGGTGCTTAGTGTGAGGATATTGAAGATGCATTATATAGACATAACACCTACTTAAGAGAAGATTAATGCAGACTTTTAGGGTACTGCCTGGTTTCAGCGCATGAGGGAGGGAAGAGGTTAAAACCAAGGCTCCATTAAACAGGCCTGCCGACCCAATTCTGCAGCGGCAGGGGATTATAACACAGGGGGGAGTGAGAGTGTTAATATGGGCCATAAACAGTGCTTGAGTCTGTACCTAATGCACTAGACGAACGCAGAGGAGGGAGCTGAAAGGAGGCACTGGTTGTAATGGGAAGGATAAGACAGAAGTGGGTGGTCGACTGTCACTCCGCTGGACGTGAATGATTAAATGATCTCACGCTGGATTACTATTCCATATTCTAAATGGGAGATTTTTTAAGCTTCATAAACAAATGCACTCATTTATGAGGGATTAACAGTAATCTCTCTATTTCTATCCTTTTTTCCCCCTGTGCACCTCTCTCTCTCTGTTCCCTCTTACTGCCTCAAACTGTAGTTTCTGATGTACTATGCTAATGTAACCACTTTTACAGTTTAAGTGTTGCTGTCTAATCGCATACCTTATTACATGCTTCTATTCTTCAGACAGGAACAGACTGATAAAAGTATTTAGCCCCTGTTTATTTTTATTTCTAAACAGCAGGCAGCCACAGAGGGTGTGATGGAATCACTTAATAGATTACACAGCCTTGCTTTAACTTTTCGGCCCCTTTTTGTCCTCTGTCTCTAATATTCATATTGTCCCTCACTTGTGAGGATATGGCATTGAGTACTGATGTGACATTGGTAAAGAATTTATTCTTTTAATCTCTTCATTTTTTTAAAAGTAGTGATTTCCGTCAGTAAAGCTGCTAAAACAAAAGTACAGATTGACACGAGGGAAGTGTTTCCCTTACTTACCTTCATCATATACAGTACAAATACAGTATATACAAACATGCAAGCAGCTTTACATAAAAAGGCAGATGAGGAGTGAATGTGTGGTTTAAAACTGAAAACAAGAGATGGTTGGTGTAATGGTCCTGATATGGGATGTTATGGGTCCTGTTACTGGACTGGTGCACCAAAGTGTTCCAGTTTGGGTGGTTCAGTCTGTCAGGTTTGTTCTTGCTCTCACAGCTCATCTCTGCCACCCGTCACTCTGCCTCTCCCTCTGCTCCTCTCCTTCGGTGCTTGGCTCCGAGCGTTCCGGCCGGCGGTGCCCTCTTTCTCCTCCTCGTCCTTTTTCACCACACTCTGTCCGTCTGCAGCCCACATGGCCTCTGCCTCCTCTCGCTCCTGGAAGACAGAAACACGTATGACAGATAAAATGCTGGTTTCCAGAGGTTTGATAGTGACTGATTACATCTATTCCTGTTAAGAGTAATCTTAATTTAAATCCTCGTACTTTGTTATTTGTTATTTTCACTTGGTAAATTATATTTAGAGAAGGCTCTTCCAGCACAAGGTGGTTCTCCTTTATTAAAGTGTGAATATGTAGTGTTTGCTGAACAACTGTAAGATTTTGGTGAATTTTAAAATGTATGGAAATGGTAGCACAAGTAAAGAAGACTAATAAAGACAGCAAACTGACTCAGTCAGTCTTATTTACATATACTTAAGTGAAATTAGTCACAATAAGCTACAGGTCCTACAAGACCACAAAGGCTGTGGTCGAAAAACTACTGAACTGAGTTTTATTGCTTTCAACTTTCAAACTTTGAAACTTTTCATTTTAGGGAAGAATGTGTTTTTTCCCTCCTTTAAAATTTACAGTCTGTGTTGTGTTATGTCTGCATGATGCTAAACATCAGCCAGCACTGAACTGAGTACGCTACTGAAACTACTAATAAACAGCCACTAAAAATGATATGGCTGCTGAATTATTCTTTTTTTATTTTTACAAATAGGTGTAGGATAAACCTAAAGGAAACTGCTATGGTACGATCACAGAGCAGGCATTGTGAATGCCAAAACATGAAAACAACCATGAGATTTGCATTACACTCCAGCTGGTCTTGTTACCCAACACCAGTGTCACGACATCAACAACCACATGACTACAGGAGACAGGCTCGACCTGAGGAGGATGACAGTGCTGTCTGCTGACGTCATAATGCTCACCATGTCCCTGTAGAGCTTTTCCTTTGTGAACCAGAGAGCCAGGGCACACCGCCGGCCACTGGTCACTGCAGTAACACCATGTGGATTTACTGGACCTGAGGAGAAACCCACCAGTCGACCGCAGCTGGGTTTTACTCGAGCCTGGGGATGCGGAGAAGGAGGGAAAAAAGTCACCAGGTCCAACAAAGCAGGTTTAAAAATCACTAAATTAAGTGACCTAAGGTTGAAAAGTAACTTACTGTTACTGTCTTGGCATCCCTGTTGGTGAAGAACAACTGCCCACCATCAAAGTTGTCATTCAGGTAGAGAATGGCACTGTGAGAGAAAAAACAGGCCATTCAGCCATAAACCAACAACCATTAAGGTCTATGCCAGTTCAGCTGTGGATTTTAATTCTCAATACTTCTTCAAACAAAAAAATATTTTTTTAGGCTTGATCTTAGAGGTCCAGTGTGTAGGATTTAGTGCCATCTAGCTGTGTAGCTGCAGATCACAAATCCCTTGCTTCATCCTCCAAACACAAAGGAGAAACTATGGTGATCACAAAGTGTATAAAAAACACAAATAGCTATCTAGTGCCAGAAAACATGGCGATTTAACATGGTGGACTCCATAGAAGGCGAAATGTTGCATCTGTAGAAACAAAAGGCTCATTCTAAGGTAACAAGACATAACAATTCTTATCTTCAGGTGATTATACTCGAATGAAAACATATTTAATTATTTTATTTTCTGCCAACAGATACTACTAAATGTGATACACTGGACCTTGATATAGTTTTACATAGCATTACTAATACAAGTTCTCTTTTTGGCTGCTTCGTTCTCCCTGCTCTTTCTCTTACTGATTATTGTTGTGTACCTGAGGTCTCTGTGTATAAATGCTGGTGGTTCCCTCCAGCACTGCTTTGTCTCCGGCTCAAGGAGACAGTTGTCAACATGGACAGGGTGAGACAGGTCCAGCCTGCCCTCCTGGTCACCTAAGGGTAGAGCAAATCAAACAAATTGACTTCCCATAAGAACACATTCAAGTTCACAGAATAAAAGTCAGAACTCTGTGAAACCCTGTAGTAGTAGTTTCATGAAGTCAGTCTGTACAGCAAGTAATAATGATCTCCCCCGAGAGCAATATGGATGATGTTGGTGTCACCTGCAATAGCACTGCGGCAGACCAGGTGTGTGAAAGAGATGAAGAGTCCCGAGGGGCTCCTGAAGTATGAGTGCAGCAGGACTCTCGCTCTCTCGCCCAGCTCATGTAACAGCCGGGCATCTGATTGGTTCACCAGGCCTTCCTGAGCCAACTGTGAAAGAATTTCTAATTATGTTCGAAAATACCAGCTTCAAGCACAGAATATATGCTTGGTTCTTCAATTAATTCACATTTAGTTTAATAATTTCGAGCACAGACACAAAAACACGTCATATATCTGCTTCAGTTATCTCCTGTCCGCCCACCTTTACAGCCCTGAGGACAGTCAGGCCCTCGAACGTCTCATGAGGTGTGTGCGGAGACCGTCGTCCCCGGTAACCATCTCCGGCAGATGCTGCAGCCTATCAGAGATGAGATGAAACGGTAGGTGAGAGTGTTGTTGCTTTCATCTGAGAAGGCCTGACTCTGTAACAATCTGAACGTACTGTTGCCAGCTGCAGTATTCTGCCACACTCCTTCTCAGTCATAACGCCGTCGAGTACTACGCGATTGGTCCCGTTCAGAACTTCGTCGTCCATGGTGATGGTCACACCCACCTGAGGGACTGAACCACCTGGACAGACGACAAATAAGAAAGGATGAGAGAGGTAACTGGTAACTTCTTACAGACTGAAACAAGAGGGTGAACTGATCTGACCTGCAAAAAATCCACTGTCATCCACGTCCTCCAGCTGATCTCCTGCTTTCATTTTCTCATTCATTTTCTCCTTTTCAGCTCTGAAAGTGAAACACAAACAATACTGAGTTCACTTCACATTAACTTTTTACGAAAGCCCTTCACACCGAATGGATTTCTCACCTCCAGATATCCCTCAGTGATTCAGGTACGACATCTTCTGGAGTCCAAAGATCCTGAATGGAAAGCCATCATTAAATGTTGTGGCTATAACATTGTGGATCAAAAGAGCATATATTTGCCTCAGTACTTACTGGGTCGATGAAACTGAAGTCAAGGTTCTCCATACCAAAATACAGTAGCTTCTTCTCCTCTAAAGAGTGACTGATGTATGTGACTACCTCCTGTGTGACAAATACGCACAAACATGTAGTCAGCATGGACAAAAGTAAGAAATCAAAACAGAAATTTTAAGTTTGCATGTCTGAAATGATTCAGAAAAAAAATAAAAGGAGCTTCCACCATAGTGGTGATGTTAATGTAATGTTCATGAATAGTACCTGAGCAGGCTGTGTGTCCTGTGACTCTGTGTCTCCTCCTAGTGTCTCATAGTAGAGCTGCAGGTTGTTTAAGGAGTCCTTATCGGAGGGGTAAAACAGGAGAAGAGAGCGAAGAGTCTGAACTGCTCCACTGATATCACCAGCTGTGGGGAAGCAGGGAGCAAAATAAGAATAAATGGCACTTGAATGTTCAAAACTAATGAGGTAGAGAAAATTCAGAGGAAGACACAAATACAGTGTATCATAACATTGAATGATGATGTGAATAATCTTCAGTCTGACCTTTAAACTGTGCAATATGCAGATGTTCCAGCTGTGAGGGCAGGAAGTCCTCCTGAGCAGAAATCCTTCCAGGTCTTGTGGCTATCTGAGTCACACAGGACTGTCGGCACGAGAGCAGTGAGAGGGAAAGAGCTAGACAGAAAAGAAATGTAGTGTTGACGACTAATGTCTGTTCCCTTTTTGTCACGCTAAAGTTTTGTTGTTGTTGTTGTTGTTGTTGTTATTTACCTGCAGCTTTCTCGTACACGCCATCAACACTGTCCACTCCCCTGTCCTCAGGCAGCCTCTGGGAGGCCACCTCACACTGCACCCTGCACTCGTCTGTCTGCCGCAGTGTTTCATTCACACATGCTTTCCATTTCTCTGCTGCCTGGACCCAGTCCGAGGAGGCTTCATACTGAAGTGCAGAATCATACAGCATCTGGGTTTGATGGTGAGTGAAAAGAGGAAGAAAAAAAGAAGATATAATCAAGAAGAAGATGCAGCTAGAATGGCTTTTGTTATAATAAAATAAAAGTACAAACTTGTGAGTGAATGCAATTACACGGGCAGTTTAAACCTATTTCAAACAAGCGTAATCGTGTTATAACAAGCGTGTCTGAATAGACAAAATAAGTTGCTCAGTCAAAGGTCTTCAGGAAGTAAAACCAGGTTTGGATTACATGACACAGGATAAGAGAAAGTGAAGATGTGAGAGAGGAATTTATTCCCTAGGGCCATAGCTTTCTTTCCACACTCACATCTCCAAAACATTCCCTGCAACGAAAAACACTGTCCCCTCCCTCCTATTGATGCTGACTCCATAGATCAGCCCTGTTTGCCCCAATAATATGACATACATTCTAATGTCATTGGAAGTGATGAATTAAAATATTAAACCCTTTCCTAAACAGTAGTAAACAAGTGGTGTGTCTATGTAAAGGTGGAATTATATACTCTGTCTTCCCTTTAGCATTATTTGTTACATGAACAGGCAAACCAGTGCAGTTTATGGACATAACACTATATGATTCAATTCACCTACTCCATTCCCCCCTATTTCTTCAAGAAGACTTTAAACCCTCCCTCCTCACCCAGTGTTTCTCATTCTCAAGCTCTCTGTCCTGGAAGTCCTCCTCGGTCACTCCTTCCATGCGTCTGTACTTCTCAATGTTGTTCCTCATCTCCAGGTGGCTGGGATTGGCCACAAAGTAGGTATGAGCTGCCGATGCTGCCTTATGCAACTTTTCCAACTGATGTGCGGGAAGAGGAGAGTGGGAAATGTTTTTTTTTTCAGGATTGCAATACAGTAAGTCTAAAATGTGATGAGAAATTAACAGTTATGTTACCTTGTAGTACGTGACCTGCAGAAAGTTGTACGGGTTGCGGCTGCCGAATTCATACTCTATGTCGGTGGAGACGGGGAGCTGTCCTGCAGGTGTGACAGAGCGTCCGATACAGAACCTCAAACATTCAGCCTTTTTCTGAACCCAATCCAAGGCCCGGAGGTCCCACATGCTCCCCTGTTCAGAGTCTAACAATACAGACAAACATGGATCATTGTTCGTCACTGTCAACTGGTTCATCATTCATACAAAAGATATAATAATGAGAGTTTAATGGACACATAGGTTAGGAAACTATGATTTATAAAGCAAGCGGCCCATTCTTATTTATGCTCTGCTACTCCCTTTTGATTTTGTAATGCACTTCATAGTAATTTAGTGTCTCACCAGTAATTACCTCTGATCCAGAAGTTTTTTCTAACAGTTTGTATTATTATTATTTATTTATTATTATCTGCCAGGCCTAATGCTAGTAAAATGTAAGGGAAAACAGCTTATTTATTTAGTTTTGGCACAATGCACATTGATCACAATCACTGTGAATGTGCCAGCGTTAGTTCAAAGGCCAATTTTAAACTGTTGCCCTTTGATCAGGAGTTAAATTAGCCATTAAGACAACAATAAAACCAAAATGTGATAACTTAATGCAATAATGCTGTAATGTATTTTTATGAATTCATTAACACTTTAATAAACGTATCCATCGCATAGGTCAGTGGCTCCCAAATTGGAGTCGAGACCAGCCAAAGGGTCATATGATGAAAGATTTAAGGGATTAAAAAAGAAAATACAGTATTTCTGTTTTCATTCATGTTTTCCCTTTTAATTTATAACACTGGTTACTTTCACCTCTGACCTTAGACCTCTAAAACTTCTGAAAAACAATCTTGAGAAGGGGGGAAAAAATGGTTGAACAGCTGTGCTAAAGCCATAAAATATGGGGTCACAAGTAAACATGACTTCATGTAAAAGGGGCCACAGACACAGAGTAGCCAGCTAAAGAAAGTATTACATTAAACACATTACTGACTGTGAGCTGTTGTGTCATTCAAATGTGCATTTAAGTCATTCATTAATCACACAGATTGAGGTATTACTAACAAATAACAATTGAATAAGACCATAACGACACATTTGGCACACCACACTGACTCCATGTAAAAAAAAAACAGAAAAAAACCCACCCCAATCACTACACTCACAATATCTGATCAATAATCACTTACCCAGTTTATTGAAAGCCTCTCTCCCTGCTGCCACACAGTCATCATGACACTGCCTGCGGACTCTAAACAGTGATTCCTTGGTTAGGACGGATTTCTCCAGCAGCTCTGCAGCCTTGGCCCACTCCTCACCAAAATATGCACGTACTCCGCTGTAATACAAGAAATCATACGGCTGCAGGAGGGACAGCACATTGGAGCTGCCACTGCCCGGAGCTGCTAAAGTACAATTAATCAATGCTGCAATAACACAATGAAACGCCACGTATACAGTGAAATATCCAGAGTGCAGCGCCATGGTCCGAGACACAAACCCTGTGGAGGAGACGGTGCTGGGAGAAGAGGAGGAGGGACTATGGAAATATTTAAGGAGGAAAGTTTTACTTCGTTTGAGGAAAGTAACGGGCTATTATTTAATATGTATGAACTACTGCTCCGTGTTAACGTGTAGCTGGTAATTTCGTGTTTTTGAAAACAAGCCAACTGTAACTTATTGACTTGTTTTGGGTTAATTAATGCGAGACGTGATGTGTTTGGCGGATTATTGTGAGTTGAGTTGCAGTACCTCGTTGCGGCCACTAGAGGAAGCCACTGGTTGAGTTCAACGGACGTTACCGTAAATAAACTAATAAAACCGGCTCAACTGAAATACACCATTATCAAACGTGGTGGACGCGCAAATCACTTATCGCAAACTCACAATTAATCGATTCCCCACATGTTGACATCATTTCAAGCTGTATGATTAAGCTTTAGTACATCCGGTGTGATTGGAAATCCACGTTAGTGCGTTGCAAAAAAACGATGGGTGAGGATATTCTAGAGATTACGGTAACGAGCCGCAGCCCGACGGCGTGCGGGCAACGGGAGCCCGCTCGGCCTTTTCCCCTCAACATGATTCATTCAGCCCAACACAGACAGCACAACACGGGCTAGACAACGGACACTCTTCCGAGCCGGGGATAAAATCAAGAGGCTGGAGGTCCAAACTCAGAGGCGCAAAGTGTCCCACTGAAAGGCGGAACTAGCTCGCTCGTCATGGCGGATGTTGGGGAGGTTTTGATGTCGGTTTTGTCCACAATTCGGGTTCCGAAACCCGGAGACCGCGTCCACAAAGACGAATGCGCCTTGTCATTTTCCTCGCCGGTGAGCCATCTTCCCTTTTTTTTTATTTTGTTGTTGTAACAAATCAAAACGTCAGCGAGCAAAGCGGCGTTGTTAAGTGTGTCAGTCGTTCACACGCTGTGTTGTCTTTGTGTTTTAGGTTTTAGGTTTTTGTCGGCGCTCTCTGACTTTGACTCAGATTTTCCTGTTTGAACTAACTAGCAGGCTAGCGGCGAGCTAAGCTAATAGTGCAGTGTAATGGAAACTTAGCTGCGGTAGCTTGCTAGCTGGCCGTGTTGGTGTAATTGGGTATGCTGTCAAACTAGCTAGCGAGCTAACTCAATCGTTTTCTGGTCACAACTGCGGCACTGCTGTTCATGCCCCCCTTTTTTTTAAAAGGTGAATTAGCCCTTAAATGAATATCTCAATCCTGATATTGATGTTTATCGTGGACAGACAACAATAAACCTGTGTTGAGTTGGATTCATCCGCTATCTGGCTACAGTACAATAACTCCTGTGTGACATGGTTAGGACACTCTCACTCCCTCCAGCTTTTAACTTCCCAGTGTTGTGTCTGGATGGAGAGAGATGAGGACAGGTTATAGCGTTAAACATGTGCCTGTGTCTTCTTTTAAAGGAGAGTGAAGGAGGCCTGTATGTGTGCATGAACAGTTTCCTGGGCTTTGGAAGTCAATATGTGGACAGACACCATGCTCGGACTGGCCAGAGGGCTTACTTCCACATCACTCGGACTCGCAAGACTAAGGTGGGCACCTAATTCTATTGTTTTGATGATATCTTGGATTTCTGGACAGCATAAATAAAAATGTTTGACACTGTCCCTTTTACATGTCAAGTGGACTAATCTCAACACCCACTGTTATGATGTGTTGTTCTCGCAGAAGGAAGACGACAACAACTCTGGATCCGGACACCCACCGAAGAAAAAGCCCACCAGATTGGCTATAGGTGAGAGCACGAGAGAGTATTTATTTATTTATACAAGCACAGGTTACACAGGGGTCCTCCTTTGAGACCGGCCTATATCTACCCCCCCTCTTGTTTCTGGTCTGTCCAGGGATCGAAGGAGGCTTTGACGTGGAGCAGGAGCAGTATGAGGAGGATGTAAAGGTGGTCATTTTACCTGACAGACAGGAAGTGACATCAGAAGACCTTGGTACTATGCCTGATGTTGTGAGAGAGCGGGTGAGATATCTCTTCTTCTGGCAGGATAAATGTTATCACTTACTCACACTACTATAAAAAACTCTTTAAGAAGTTCAGTGATTTCACTCATTAATACAAGGACATGACAAAGAGGCTCGCTGCAAACAAAGCCAGCCTTCATAGATCTTAATCTTCATACAATATATTTTTGATATATCTCTTAATACTAGAGCATCAGGGTACCTGCCAATATGGATATCTAGGGACCTATTGATAATAAACTGTGTTATATTCAGTTTCACAATGAGCTATTCCTGCTTTTCCTCAAGGTGTCCCTGTCAATGGCGGGCATCATGGCAGCCGACTCAGTGTCTCACACCTTACAAGTTCAACAGTGGGATGGAGAGGTGAGGCAGGAGTCAAGGCATGCAGCTGACCTTAAACAGCTTGACAATGGAGTCAAGATCCCTCCCAGGTGAGACATAGAGAGGTAGAGCGGGTCGTCCACTAACCAGAAGGTTGGCGGTTCGGTCCCCGGTTCATCCCGCTGCATGTCGAAGTGTCCTTGAATGAATGAATGAATGTGAATTTGAATTAATGGATTTAGCTAGAGTGGTTGGAAGATTAGAAAGGTGCTATACAAGTACACTCCTTTCACCATTTAAATAAACCTGCCCCGCAGTTCAGCGCTATTTAGTGACTTTATTAACAACAAGTTTCTTATATTACGCTGTAGGTTAATTAAATATTGTGCCACACTGCAGATACGATGGCTGTCTATACATACTTTAAGACCTCTATTGGTTGTAGAGGTGTATTGATTGCAGTGAAGACAATGACCAGGCAATGTTTTTTCATTTAGGATCCATTAATCCATATTTGCATTAGTCCATTGATGCTGTTGTGGCTCCAATAATACAATTTAGAATAGAGATAGCTTTTCTGTGTTTTATTTAACAAAACCTACAAGAGCTTCCAGGAATGAAAGAGCCAAATATTTATTTCTGCACCTGTCATTGGGAAATTTGTGTAATTTGTCTTTTCTACATCGTAGTGGCTGGCGGTGTGATGTGTGTGACCTCCAGGAGAATATTTGGATGAACCTGACGGACGGAAAAGTGCTCTGTGGTCGCAGGTATTTTGATGGCTCCGGGGGCAACAACCACGCCCTTCTCCACTTCCAGGAGACAGGATACCCACTGGCTGTCAAACTCGGTACCATCACTCCCGATGGAGCAGGTAAGCAGATGGAAGAATTTTTTCTTTATTAAAAATCTTCAGCTAAAATTAAAATGCATTTTGACTAAGAGGCAAAAGACTTGTTCCCATATAACAAGTCAAATTGTGTAATTTTAAACAATGTTTAGAATAATAAGTAATGTCAGACAGACAGCAGCGTGCTACACAAGAGCCACAGACTTTGAACAACAACCAACATTAGTGTTCATGCTGAACTCTCCATCGCATCTAACTTACAAACATGAACGCGTGTCTTTTTCTGCTCCTTCGGTTTGCAGGCTAAATAGATAATTAGTTTGTCAGATGTAAATTAAACAGCATGTAAGCGTAACTGCAGCTATCACTTGGGCCCATTTAGATGCTGGTGTGGACCTTACTCTTCAGTGACACTGCTAACAGCGTACTGTCTGGTTATGTCTTGTAAGCCCCAGTGCGAATTTTGTTTACTTTGTCTCTCGTTTCCCTGCTGGCAAACAAATGCAGACACTGACACGCCCCCTTGACTGAATTGAAAAGGAGCATTTCTGATATTTCCCCAAATATTCTAAGTTTTTATAACCAAAAAACATGTAAAAAAAAAAAAACTGTTGACATTATTATTGAATGCTAAATAGGATAAGCAAATGGGATTTTAAATACCAATGGTATAATGTGTGGGCTATAGTGAATCTCTGTTGGACTATATACAGTATCTGCATTTATCTTAAGCGTAGTGCTTCATTACTCTTAATCGCCACCACTGTTTTGTCCTCCAGATGTGTATTCGTATGATGAGGATGACATGGTACTGGATTCCAAGTTACCAGAGCACCTAGCTCACTTTGGGATCAACATGATGACCATGGAAAAGGCAAGTTCTGTGTTTCTGCTGTTTTTAGTGTTATCTTTCTCTCTTTTGACAATTGCAACTATGAAATCTGCCCATTTTCTCTCTGGTTTACTATGTTCAATATTGGATCAAGTTCCTGTAGACAGAAGTATTGCTCAACCCTCTGCTTTACAATTGAAGTCTTACAAATTTTGTCAGAGATATTGGAATTTTTACCCCTGTTGGCAGGCATCCAGACAGTTATAGTTGGCTCTGCCACATAGAGCAGCCATTGATTACACGGTCAAAATTTCAGCTGCGGTGTTAGAGAGCCAATAGCACATAAAAAATTAATACAACAGAAAATTCTTATGAATGAGTAATTGGCCAACTTTTCAGTCTTGTTCTTCTTCTCGTTTATTTATTAATGTCAGCACAGTTGAAACTATTACTTATGTTTATATAACATTATTAAAGTATTATTGTAGTAGTATTACTGATGGGCTATAATAATGCAGTAATATCTCTCCTTGTGTGCTCATGGCATACCTGTTATTATTTACCTTCTTTCCCCAGGTTCAGATATTTTCCTCCGCACCTGTTTCCTCTCTGATTCCCTGTTGCCATTATTTTCTTTGCCACCTGCTTCTGCTCTCATGCAGCGTGCAGACTACACAGTTGTCAAAATATAAGATCTCTGCACCTCTCACTGTGTACTGTAATGTTGTTTCTTGTCTTGCTAATGTATTGCTGCACACACATAATGATGTTGCACAGACAGGGGGTGGAGGAATTGTGCTACAGTGGAGCAGAAGACAAAGTGCAGTACTTAGTGCTGTGATGATGTGTTCTGTATTTTTCTTCTATGTCTGCCTGCTGTCATTTCATATTGGCTACTTTTGGTCATCATTCTCAAAACCTGCTCTTATGTATGAAGCCTGCTATATAGAATTATATTTGATTGCACCCTGCGTCATTCATTCTCTTATCCCTTTGTGTTTTCTGCTCTCAGACTGAGCGGACGATGACGGAGCTAGAGATTGCTGTTAACCAGCGTGTGGGGGAGTGGGAGGTGATCCAGGAGTCAGGGACTACCCTAAGGCCCATGTTTGG